GAGAGAGAGAGAGAGAGAGAGAGAGAGAGAGAGAGAGAGAGAGAGAGAGAGGTGTTTTACAGTCAACAAAGCTGAAATAAAGTGGAGATCTAAAGATTCTTTGACATCAGACATAGAGATGGAGGGTTCTGAGTTTTACACCTTGTTTTTCAGTCTTGCTTTGGTCCAGTATTTCCTCACTATGCCCCCCATCAATCCTTTTCATAATGGCCTGTGCTATTGTGTGTTGGAAACATGTGATTTGCTTTTTTAAGTTTGATTTTACTGGTGATTTCAGTTAAGAGAAAGCCATGAGTCTCAGAAGAGACTTTGAATTTTGGACTTTTAAAGAATGTTGATACTGTGATTGATACTGGGATCTTTTGAAGTTGTATTGAATGCATTTTTTCATTATGATGTGGCTACAAGCCAATGGGGGCCAGGGAATGGAATGTGGTGGTTTGAATAAGAATGATACCCATAGGCTTATATTTAGATATTTAGTCATCACAGACTGGCATTATACTAGGAAGGATTCGGAGGTACAGCCTTATTGGAGAAAGTGTGCCACTAGGGGGTGGGCTTTGGCATTTGAAAAGTCCCAGCTACACCCAGTGTATCTTTTCTGCTGCCTGCAGATTTAGATGTAGAACTCTTAACTATTTTTCCAGTACCGTGTCTGCCTGTTTATTGTCATGCTTCTTGCCATTATAGCTGTCTTAGTTAGGGTTTTACTGCTGTGAACAGACACCATGACCAAGGTAAGTCTTATAAAGTGCAACATTTAATTGAGGCTGGCTTACAGGTTCAGAGGTTCCATTCATTATCATCAAGGTAGGAGCATGGCAGCATCTAGGCAGACATGGTACAGGCAGAGTTGAGAGTTCTACGTCTTCATCTGAGGGCTGCTAGTAGAAGACTGACTTCCAGGCAGCTAGGGTGAGGGTCTTAAGTCCACGCCCACAGTGACACACACCTACTCCAACAGGGACACATCTCCTAATAGTGCCACTCCCTGAGCCAAGCATATTCAATCCATCACAATGGCCATATGTTAAAACTATAAAACTATAAGCAAGTCCCATTTAAATGCTTTGTTTTATGAATTTCCTTGGTTATGGTATCTCTTTATAACCATAGAACATTTACTAGGACTGTGTGTGTGTGTGTGTGTGTGTGTGTGTGTGTGTGTGTGTACAATGAGATTCACTAAGACATAGGAGAAAAAGGAGGTTATTAAGAAAATGACAGAAGGAAGATATGTGGGGTATGTGATATTTGTAGCAACACAATCTAGACAACTCCTCAGTAATTTGGTCTCAAGTACTTTGGGGGTATGACTCTGAGTTATTCTCACTGTAAAGCACAAGTTTACCACATGCTAAGCAAACTGGTCAAAATGCCCAGTGGCTCTGAGGTCCAGATTTTAGGCCAAAGTACACATACTTCCATGAATTGAATGACTTCAAAGTGATTAGCACTATACAAAAGTGTAGTTGAGCTAATAGCCAACTTCTGTTTCCTTCAGGTATTCAGCAGAGTGTCTTCAGGACTCTGCTTAGATGATGTTCAGGAGGAAAAACTCCTGAATGGACATTTTGCAATAGCATCAGGGCATTGACTGAGCCTGCAGGAAGCTGTAAGGTAATAGCTGTGGGTATGGACCCATACACCACAGCTAAGAGTCAGATTGTATTCCCACCCTTCCCCCAATTTTATAACAAGTCTTGGAGAATAGGTTTGAGACAGAGACAAACAGCACTTGTGTAGCAGGGAGGAAAGAAGACAAGTTTTCTGTATCTTTTTGCTTTAATTCCATGTCAGACTTACTGCTATGATATTTGTACCATTGGCATCTGTTTTTGCAAGTACCCTTACATGGTACTTAGATATTTAAAAGTTGAATGTGGGACACAGAGCCAAGAGTTTCCACTCATCTATGATATGAGATAATTCAAGGTCTTTTCTCACCAGCAGGATTAGAGTTTTATACCTTGAACTAGTTAGGGTCATTATTGCTATGATGAAACACCATAACCAAAAGCAAGTTGCAGAGGAAAGGGCTTATTTGGTTTACATTTTTCACATCAAAGTCCATCATTGAAGGAAGTCAGGGCACGGGTTTGAACAGGACAGGAGCCTGGAAGCAGGAGCTGAAGCAGAGGTCATGGAGGGGTGATGCTTACAATCTTCATGGCTTACTCAGCTTGCTATCTTGCAAAACCCAGGACCACTAGCTAACAGATAGCATACCCATAATGGGTCAGGCCCTCTCACATCAACCACTAATTAAGAAAATGCCCTACAGGCTTGCATGCCCAATGTTATTGGGGTATTTTCTTAATTAAGGGTCCTTCCTCTCGGATAACTCATATGTTGAGTTGACATAAACTAGCCAGCACCAGCCTGTATATTATTTCCTCATTTTTGTTTTCTCCCTTCTTGACTCACTGGATATTTAGAATTTTTGGATTTTTCAGTTCCTCTAGAGAAATGATCAGATATATATGCAGGCTCAGAAGTACAGGAGTGAGTGGTGATATGCCAAAGAACATTCAAAAGGCATTGAGCCAAACATGAGGAAGAGGGCACGGAAGCAGCCAGCTATTCAAGGAAGACACTGAAATGTCCATAAATGCTGTTTTAATAGAGATATTCCTATAGAGGGTAGCTGACAGGTCCAGCTCAAGTGAATTTTACTCATGTCTGCTATATTTAGTCATTCCCCAAGGACAAATTCATTGCAATCTATTGGAATTTTAATGTTCACAAGGTTACAAGCTTTGTTCTTGTTTGTAGTAATTCTTTCAACTGTCCTGAAAATCTGGGGTGAATATTCTAGAATGAAAAGTGAGAAGGACATGGGATGATGTTCTAATTATAAAATGGAAAATGTTCCAAGCTGGGTGGAATTTTGTAGAAAGGGACCCTAGGGACAGTTCAGGTAGAAACTGGGTTTGACAGATAATTAAATATAGACTGGAGAGGTTTTGTACATGTCTTTCTAGCCAATGTTTTTTTAATGATAGGACTCTTAATATGGTAAAAGGGACTGGCTTCTTTTTGTCCCACCCACTGCCCCCCTTTTCTTCTTTTTCCTCTTTTGAGAATACATAGTCTACTTTTGAATGTTGTTTGTCCCTGAACATCCTAAGTAGTTTTTAGTTGCTAGTCTTTAGAGCATTTAGATTCAGTGTCAGTATCAACGTGCTTTTGCGTGAACAAATATACCTGTTAAACTTTCTCAGCGGGATCAATTCCCTATTCTGCAGTGAAGTGAACAAAACTAAAATGCATATCATTCTCGTGGCAACATCCTTGCCCAGGCAATCTAGATTAAGGGGCATTTGAAAAAATTTCCAGAGTCAATTACTGATTGAAATGCAGATCAATAGGTATAAGGAATGCCTGGGATAAGGTCCGTTGGGTAGAAAGTTGGCAATTATTTCAGGAGCTAACAAATTTATTTGTTTGACAGCTGGAGGACCTTGAAGGAGCAGACCATCAGGACCTCTTGATGGGTAGTTTACTTCACTTAACTCTTACAATGCCTATGGGAGACTCAGGAATAGCCTTGTCCTAGAATTTAAGAAACTGTCTAGGCCCTTTCTGTTATTTTCAGAAGTGCCTTTAGAGTTCATTGGCTTTCCTTTCACAAGGCAACGTCACATAAACGGAGTTGCTTTGGAGGTGACTTGGTTTGCTTTTCCCAATTCCCAGCATGCATTTTGGATGAGAAACTGTTTTTCTTCCCTTTTCCTCCTGGTCCATTATGGATGAGCATAGTTGTGATATTTAGGATGTTCAATTTGTAGCCTGGACCAACAGACTGTCTCTGGGTTGTGCCGCTGTCCCGGGTCCGCGGTGCTGGATTCTGCAGAGCCTCCGCAGAAGCAAGAGGAATCCTCCCCAATTCACAGGGAGAATGTGGACTTAAAAGACAAAAGTACCTCACCACCAGTCACAGCATCCTAGACCTGGGGCTTCTTTGGATGCCAGGAGGAGGGTTGGGGGACACCAAGGCACCTCCGGAGCGCCCTCTGGCGGGAGCAGAGCGCGCATCTCACCCCCACCCCCTCTCCGCCGGCGCGGCGCCCCCGCCCGGCGCTCCAGGTTCACTCTCGGTTTCTCACTCCGTGAGACACAGACGGCAGCTTTCTAAGCGAACCCGGCGCCAGCTGAAGCGGCGCCACCGCAACTGCCACCGCCAGGACAAGCCCTAGGCACTGGGAGAGAAGACGAAACCCGGCAGTCCCATTCCTCTCTCGGCACGGTCCTCGCAGTGGAGCCGGCAGCTCCGGGTCCCCGCCGACCTCCTTTGCAGCCACTTGGAGGGGTGTGCCAGGACTTGGGTCTCAGCTTGTGAAGAGCCCGGGCGGGAGGCGGCAGCGGCCCGGAGCGAGATTGTACAGCCAGGACTGGGTAGCAACCCGAGAGCACTGCGTTGGGAGGAGGCGGCTGGAGCCCGCGGGTGTCTCCCGCTTTATCGCTTCGCAAGCGGCACCGCCTCCCCGGGCCGGGGCCGCTCGGCCGGGTCCTCTGCGTGTTCCCGGGCCCGGAGCCCGCGCACTATGTGCGGGGCAGCGTTCTGATAGCAGCCCGCCTCCGCCTCCGCCGCGATGATCCCTCCTGAGCCTCCACAGCCCCAGCTGCAGCCACCACCGCCACCGGCCCCACCGAACCATGTGGTGACCACCATCGAGAACCTGCCGGCTGAGGGCAGCGGTGGCGTGAGCCTGTCCGCCTCCTCTCGGGCTGGCATGCGCCAGAGGATCCGCAAAGTGCTGAACAGGTGAGCACAGGCTCTCAGTGGGGACAGCAGGGACAGGCACTGCAGGCGCCCAGTACGAGGTCCCCCTTTTCCCTATCCGACGTGTCCCCCAGGTCCTTTGGGACTGGGTCCTGGCCAGGAGAGAGAGCCAGGGTAAGCTTTCCGGTGCTCTCAGAGAGGCCGCGACAGCTTTGTCCTAACGCTGGGATCCCCCAGTGGTGGGGCTGCAGGCAGGTCCGGGAAGCGAGTTGGAGAAAGGCGGGGTTGTTCTACCTGCAGATGCCCTGTGTGTGTCCATACTCACGCCTAGCATCCTCACTTTGTATCACTTCCCCTTTGCACTCTTATACCAGCTTTGCGCTCTAGGGACACCCCCCCCCCCCATACGGCCTGGGCGGAGGCGGGAAGGCCCCGGGGCTGCGGTGATGGCGTGGAAGTCGCCAACATCTCGCAGTCTTTCGCTCCGCCCTGGTGGCACTGATCCCCCTCCCCAGGGGCATATGGTGAGGATACCTCCACCCCCAGCCCCACCTCCAGACAGAAGTGGGAAACACTTCTGCCTGACATTCCGGTCGCTGTGCAGACTCTTGATGGCTTTGGAGTAATGAAAAGAGGCTAGAGGCCTGGGCCAGACCTGAATAAAGTGCAAAATACTGCGCGAAGGATGTGAGAATCAGGTGTCTAGTTACTCTGCTCCGGACTGCCCTGGCCTCTGTGCTGGAATCTGCGTAGTGGGTTATTAAAAACAGATATGTTTTAGGACGAGGGTCCTGTTGGCAAGAAAGTAGAATTTCCTATAGTACCCTCATTCAGCTCTGATGTGAAAGGGACTTTTGCTACTTAGCTAACTCAAATGATTGACGAGCTATTAGACAAAATCTACACAGCCAGTTTTGTGAGTGTGTGCTTTTCAATGCTTCTGTAGGATAACCTTTCCGATCGCACTATTCATACAGGTTTCTGTGTGGTATCTTTTTCTGGTAACAGATTCCCTGATTACTCACATGAAACTGTTTGGTCATAAAGCTCTGCTGAGAGCACAAATATATGTAAAGAAATACCTTGAAAATATTTTTATTTGGAGAAAATGGTTGCATACTATTTAACAATTGCTTGTTAAAATCTAATGATTACAATAACTTATTTATGGGCATTTCTGTCTAATATCAAACAAGAATTCCACTCTTCAGTGAAATATGTATTGGCAATAGAAAGTCCAATTTTACTTTGCCATTCGTTGTTTGGCTAGCACATACCGAAATATGGCATTGAAAAAAAGATTTAAAAATGATGAATAGCAGAAGAAATATGGAAGATAGTTTGTGCGTACCCTTTGAATACTTGCCGTTTTAAAATCAATATTTTAAACAGAATACAGTCTTAATTATTAAGTTATTATTTTTCTCATCAATGTAGAAAACACCGATGCTATTGCTCATTTGTTATTTTTGAGGTCGTAGTGGTCGTTTGCATATGCAATGAATCCTAATGCCAGGAATGATTAACTCACAGAGGTAGGTTTGAAGGGACTTGGGGAGTTACCACTCCTTTGCCTCTCCCTAGCCACAGGGCTTGTAGCAGAGGTGGCTATCTTCTCTAGTCTTAGGCTCTTCAATTGTAGACTATGTTAATGACACTTGTCTGAACTCTCTATCAGATCATGATTTTAAGGATTAGATAAAACTGAAAAGAAAAACCACTGTGAAAGATGGAAAGTTCTAAATATCTTTTATCCAGCCCAATTTTATTGTCCAAGACAAGTTCAAGAACCACACAGGTAAAGAAAGCAAACTCATGGGTAGAACTCTGCCTTTTACTGAACCTATGCGAGCCCCCTGTGAATGGTGTGGCATTATTTTCTATGTACAGAGGGGAAACTGAGACTTAGAGTGGGTTAATGACATTCTTATCTCAAAAATATGAATTGAGACCCTAGGATTATAACATTTAGACTTAAACAAAACACAATTCTTGTTTGTCTCTCAAATTCTTTAAAAATTTGAAAATCGTTTTTATATTGTTAATAACTTTCCTCATCCTTGAAGAGGTAAGGACACATTATTCTTTTGAGAAAGGGTGTCTTTAAAGAGACTAAAAACAATCTGAAAACACTTTAAAAATTGTGACGGAATATTTTGTTTGCATAATAGATTTGGCTTTTGTGCCAGTATTGTTTCAACAAGATTGGTAGCAGCTCCGGATTGACCAGGCTCCTTCCTATGGATCACGTGTGATTGGTGGGAGCTGGCAGTGCTTAGATGTTGCTCTGCTTTTTGAACCATCCTAGAACGTAACGGCTATGAAGTCAACCCACTGTGGCCTAATCATAACATTTTTGTTTATTTAGTAACATCTCAAGATCTCACATTTTGCCACTTTTCTCTTCTCTCTCCCCAATATTTCTGCTCCCTTAACCCATGTTGCCTTATTGACACAATGTTATCAGCTCTTCCTTTCCATCTATCCCTGACCTGAAGCAACTTCACTCCTAAAAGAGATCCATTTTAAATCCACAAGCTCCAGCTAATGTAAAGAAAAACAAAAAAACAACAAACAAACAAACAAACAAACCTGTCCAACATTTGACATTCATACACAGAATTGGCAGAATTCTGTCACTGTGAGCTGGTAGAGAGACCTCTTTGTTTCCTGACTTGGGGGAGCTCTAACCATCTCCTTGGGAATATTGCTGAGAGACAGGCTGTGGAAATGGGGTGGAGACTTTCAAACCATAGATAGACAAGCTTAGTAAACTGCCTATTCTTGGTCAGAGTTACCTGTCAACCGGAGAAGGGGATGCAAACACATCAGGTGTCTGTCTATACTCTGTCCATTCAGCGACAGTTAAAGAGACTTACAATATTAATTGATACTTACCTAATGATACTTAGAATTAAAATAGAATGAGAACAGTATATGGACATCCATTTACTGTTATAGAACTATGCATCAATTTCTTTCCTTAGTGGAGTACCATCTATTGACTTTGAATATGCACAGAGCTAGATGGCTGCATTTTACATATGAGAATGAGGGCATCCCACTGATGGTCTAGACCCCTTCTTAATAGCAATTAGAATATCACACTATACAAGACTTTAATGAAAGAGGAGATGCCGGATCATTGTCATTTTTTTAACCCATTAATAGCATGTGTTATATTCTTTTTTCTATTCAAATTATTTTGGAGACAAGGTGCAAGAAATAAAAGATGTTTTAAATCATAAAGTAATGACAACTTCTTGATTTTAAAGATGCAAAATTATGCATTGATGTAGCTAGACAAAGAAACATGATAAACTGTTTTTCACTTACTTTTTGTTTTATAGAACAATAGCATTTATTATCCTGCCACAGACAAACATGATACAAAAACAACAATAAAATAGACACTTCAAGGACAAGTTGGTAACCCTTTCATAGAAACTGCTGATCACGTAGATTTCTTTGAAATACACCAAAGTACACACTAGCTATATATTAAAGTACCAAAGAATTTCTTCTGAAATGAATACTTAATAAAATATCCCATTGAATGAGTGATTTGTACATGCAAGCTTTTATAGGCCTTTTCCTACGTTGATATCAAGAATTCCTAGTTTTGAGTGCATTTTCTTCTCAATAACACAGCTGGTGAGCTGTGTGGGGGTAATAAAACTGTCTGTAAGTTTTGAGTCTTGTAGAAGAGGTGGTTAGTTATTAGATGAAAATATTGTGTCTTGGACTGTCTTAGTTTTGGTTTTACTGCTGTGAACAGACACCATGACCAAGGCAACCCTTATAAGGACATTTAACTGGGGCTGGCATTCAGTCTATTATCATCAAGGTGGGAGCATAGAAGGCAGACATGATGCAGGAGGAGCTGAGAGTTTCACGTCTTTATCTGCACCCCACTAGAAGACTAGCTTCCACATGGTTAGAAGGAGGGCCTCACTGCCCACCCCCTCAGTGACACACTTCCTCCAACAATGCCACACCCACTCCAACAAAGCCACACCTCCTAATAGTGCCACTCTCTGGGTCAAGCATATTCAAACTACCACATAGATTATTCATTTATTTGGAACTGGTTTTCAACTTAGATTTATCTTACTAACTTTCAAGCTTTGGATGCTTTTGAAAATTGTAAACCAAAGAAGATTAGGATAGAAGAAAACAGCAAAATTGGTGGTGATCCTGCATGAAATTCATGCTGAACCTGGGTAGTTATGCTGTGAGAAGGGTCAATATGGATATATAATCTTTCTGTGTCACTTACAAGGCAGGCAGAACAAATCTTAACTGATGGAATGACTTCCTAGAAATAAGGTCTTTGCCTAAACTTTCGATGGATTAGATCCAGTCCATAAAGACATAGTATAATGTAGATGGTCCTTCTAATGAAGTTAGAAGTTAAAAGACTGATGATGAGGTTACGTCTCAAGCTGCTTCTTTTAACACATGTCAAAAATAAATAAATGAGGAATCTCAACTCCTAATGAGGATATTAGACACAAAATATCCCAAAAGGATCTGGGTGGTTAGAAGCAAACATTTGTAGGATCAGCAGTAAATACAGAGTGTCTGAGGGATGCACTTAGTTTTATGTCAAAGGATGAATTAACTTTAAAACAATCGTCTAGGACTTCTGTGTTTATACAAAACACAAAAGAATGTTCATTAAAGGAATATTTGGTTTACCTTAGTAAGTATAATGCATTACATCCAAATAATCAATGTCTAATCAGAGAGACATGCATTTGCATAACTTTTCTCTGACCTTTTACTTTGCCAAAATCTGTTAGCTCCATAGGGCTATCCAAATAGATGCCCATTCCCCACAATTCACTGCTGCAGATGTAGATGCTACAGGCAACTGATACATATATACATATAAATACACACACACACACACACACACACACACACACATATATATATATATGTATATATATATATATATATACATATATATATATATGTTGTTCAGTGCTGAGATAGTTTGGTTTCTGCTGCTGTGATAAGCCACTTTGACTTAAACC